TTATGTCTTCTCTAAGACTGTTTATAATTCATTTATACATATTTTTACTATCATATGTTTTTCTATTGTTTTTGTTTTGTAAACATTCATGAAATAGATTTTGTGTTGAGTTAATATGCGTGCATTTATTAATTATTTTGTAATTAATAAGAGTCATTTTAGCTGAGTACTGAGTAAGGAGAGCAGACAGCTGTTTATACTCGACTTAATGCGGAATGAAATAAGAATTCATTTTGAAACTAAATTATCAGCTCTTATTTAAGTTAGGCATGTGGGGAAGGTAGGTCGGGTTTTATGCGGATTAGTGACTGTATTCTTACAGTAAGTGCTTTGAAATTAGGTTAGATTAGGAAGGTAAGGTTTAGGTTATAATGAACCGACTCGTTAATTTATGCTACCTACCTTCAGACTGTTTTTGCACAATTGAAATAGTGGGTGAAATACAATGAAATAACAATATCAAAAATTCTTGCATTTTTGATTCACCTAGTAGGCCTATGTATCAGTCTCCATAGGCCACTGTTTGATGCATAGTAGATGGGTTGGTAGCATCTGCTAAATATCATTTTGGAATGGATTCCTGTAGGGATGTGCAAGTGGATACCGCAGCGTGGATCCGGACAGTCCAGGAGGCCATTGGCCAACTTAAAAAGTGTCAGCAGGTCTGAGTGTTGTCGCCTCACATGAAGAGGGGAGAGGCCAAATAGAGATGTTCCACCTCGCTCACAGGAGTACGTAGGTAGTCAACCCCAAGCATCCAAGAAGTCTGATGAAGCAGCACTGAATGCTTTCCATTTGGTTGATGCGGTTCAGTTGATTAGGGGACCAAATTTTGGATCCATACTCCATTTTGGATATAGTAGGGCATTGGAAGAAAAAGAGCTTTGTACAAGGTCACGAGAGTAAGGGATGAGTTAAAATCCTTTGTGGATCTTAGGATGAATCTAATCAGAGAGTTTGCTCTTGCAGTAATGTGCTTATTGGATCTAGCGATGGTGTCATAATAACTTCCAGATCTTTAACTTTGGAACTCTCTTTAGAACAGACTCATTGATTGTATACCGGTAGTTGAGAATTAAGAATTCAGAGCCCTGTTTGAATGAGATAACTACACATTTGTCCACATTCCGTCATAGCGTTGTTTTTGCACCAGTCATTAAGTTGCTGAGAGAGTTTTGGAGATTAAAAGTTTATAGCAGTCACTTGATATCCTACTTAAGACCTTCATGTCATCAGAAAATTTGAACCTATTACAAACTTGATGTCATTTATAAATAGGCTAAAGAGTAACAGACTACCAGACAATACTTAAAATGGCTGTGGTGAACTGACATCGCACTTTACAATAAGATGTCTTCCCTTCAGGTAATTATCGATCCATTTAAGCAGGGAGCCAAACACACCATAGCACCATAGCCGCTAAGCTTTGCTATAAGAAGGTGATGATTGCAATCTAATGCAATAAATGCAATCTACTTAGCAGGAGTCAACAAACGCAGAAATTATAACATCTTGAATGAAATTTAAGTTGGTTGGAGATGGTGGATTGGGAGCGTAGGAAGTCATGTTGCTCAGGAGAGATGCACTTTCACCAGTTAACGTAAAGAAAATCCAGAACAATGCTTTCGAAGACCTTCGCTATTGCAGACAATATGACTATGAGTTTGTAGTTTTTAGCGTCATTCTGATCGCCTGACTTGAAAATGGGGACAACATATCCTGTTTTAAGACCATCAGGAAACACTCCAGTCCTTCAGCAGAGCCTTAAATTGTATAAATAGGTGGGGTGCAAGAACAGGAGCACAGTGTTTAAGTATGAAAGTAGGAATATTGTCTATTCCTGGACCTTTGTTTGGATCAAGATTTTTGAGCTTATGCTGTACATCTGACAATTTGGTAAAAAAGGGCAATGAGAGATGCTGAAGTTCGAACCAAAGTCAAAGGAAGGGACAATAGGGGATGTATCACTGAAGATACTGCAAATATCTTACATGTATCCTCCGCAGACGTGGCCACTCTTGAGTTAAGGACCATATTTGATGGGATTGTCAGGCTGCGTTTAAGACTGCCAACATGGGACAAGAAGGATGAAATGTTCCTTGGAATATCGTCTTCCACCTTTCTCGTGTAATCAGTATAACATCTTCTGCTCAACTCTCTGAATGACTCAAAGTGATTACTGTAATGCTGAGTGATGATTTGCATAGCTTATGGACAACTTTCTTCTGTATCACGAGTTGTTTAAAATCCTTGGAAAACCACTCAGGGAACACTTCTAACTATGAATGTTAAATATGGTGAATCAATGTTGGGGGTGTAGAATGGAGTGATATGAACTGTGTAGGTTTATTAAATTTTTTTTTACTTTTGAAAATGTATACTGTATCTAATTAATTAATACGCGAACACAAAGTTTGTCGGTTAAACTCCTCCGCCATTTCTTAACCGATTTTATCCATTGGCGTCTCATTGGAAAGAGCGTGTCGCGTAGATTTGCAAACTGGCCTTAGATTTTTGAAAAAGTCCCTTGGGCTCTGCCCCAGTGGCTTTTAAAGTTCCCATGTTATCCTTATGAAGAACATAATTGTTTTCATTTTGATCAGCTGTATAATTTAATTGCTGTTATTTATTTTTCAATTCAATGAAACACATTGAATACATTTACTGATTTTGTTGAAATTAAATATTTACTATTTCAATTTACATTCGTACATATTACAATGTAAAAAATCTAGAAAGCCTGGGCAATTTTATATATTTTATACCAAATAAGAAAAATGAATTGACATAGTACTGTATTTCTTGAACAATCATTGAAAGAACCGATTTGTTAACCATGGAAACGTAGGAAAGTCATTATAGAACGCTACCAAGTAGGAGAAATACTATCGTTATCAACCTATATAATGAAGAACACCTACAATATGAAGATTCCCACAAACAATGAACAAGGATGTTAGCCGAAGTGCTACTATTTTGTAGGAAACATGGACTTAAGTGATGTTTGGTTGAGGAAACCCCTCTAAAGTTGAATTAAACTGGAACGGCAAGGACATTAAATATGTGTTTTTATAAAAGTCAAGTGATTTTAAAAGAAAATTACTACATCCAAGAAACCTTAATCAAACTTTCATTGAAGGATTCACATTATTCACATTATTATTCGCATTTAAGAGAAACAAAAAAACCATCTGAACAGCATAAGGCCTTTCAATTCAGCATTTTATGTTATAACAGTAACTAGCCAAATTAATGGCAATTGAAGCAAATAAAATTGTAACAGAGAGGTTATGCATAAAATCAGGTAGTTCTTAAGTAATGTAAACAAAATATTATCTTTATAAAAAAATGACTGAAATTTGTAAACGTCCTGGCGATAATGGGTGGTACCATGCAGATTACATTATCATCGACGAAGATCAACATGGACAACCTAATGCGGGCTATAAGTGGGAAACATTAATTTGTAGAATACACTAAACAATTAGATTAGCTTTTGAAAAATTATTCAATATTTACAAGATATGTTGATGATATGGAACTGTTGTACGTTATCTATGAGTTGAGTATTTTAAACTCATCGGAAATTAAGATTTTTATTAGTTTTTTAAATAAGTTATTTGTTTTTAAATAACTACTTTACTTCTTTGCGATTGCTCGATTTCGAGCAACATGTACACTAGTTATTCATATTATTAAGTTATATTATATTATAAGTGTCATTTTGTGCCTATGTCGTTTTGAAAGTTTGCAATATTATTTATAAAAAGTTGATGACAAAAATAACTATATTATTTTAAAATAATATATATAGACTTGGACAATTTATATCTTGCCTAAAAATGTGTTTACTGCAGTTACAACTTCCAACAAAAATCTAATTACGTAAAAAAATGAAATTGAAAGTCAAAATTGTTTAACATTGGCCTTGGATGCCAAAGTAACCATGTTGGTTGAACAAAATAGCAAGAAAAAAAGTAAACTAAAGACTTGTAACATGTGTTTATAACAAGCCATCCACAGTATACTGTACTAGCAAATTAAAAAACCAAATTAAATACCCCCGTCGCAGCAAACCTGCATACTAAGCGAATTTCCATTTACCCGGCTTGATTTCTTCTAAAATATTCCCTATAAATTTTCAGATTTATTTCCTATTTAAATAACATTAATTTTAGCGAGTAGTTAGGTTTGCTGCTATGGGGAAGATGTTGAAGTGTGTTTTTTTAATTGAAATATTGATAGCTTAGTATGAAATAAACCAAATTGCCAAATTTGATTAAAATATAAAATATATCCATAAACAAGCAAACTAAAACAGTTTATTTATTCTCCATAAGAATAACATGGGAATTTTAAATTTACAATTTTTTTAATTTTCTCCGTAGTCAATGAACATTCAAAAACACTTCAATATACTAAATTATTTGTTTTTTTAAGCTCTTCAAAATGGTCTAGAGAGAAATTTAGAAATTTAAAGTTTTTAGGGTCAAAAATGAGAAAACCCCATTTTTACCCCATAAAACCCCCCATAAACCCCTGATCCCATGGTCCGATTATGCTGGTTCGCGAACTCGTTCGAATAAATGTAGGTTTACACGTTTGTACCAAATTTCATCAATATCGGATCAATTTTGCTCGAGTTATCGCGCTAACGGACACATATATAAATATATATATATATATATATATATGAATTTGAACGGATGGTGTTTTTGGCCTCTGGGGACCTCAAAACGAAAAAGTAAATCGGTCCCGGGTCTAGGTCTTACCATGAGACCTACGGTAATAGCTTATTCCCTATATGGGAAATTCGCTAAAAACCCAGTACAAAGGGAAAAAAATATCAGTTGTTACTATTGAGCAAAGATTACACTTAAGATTAAAACTATTTATTTTTGTAGCCCTCTCACATTTGACCATTCCAATTTATACGATATGTCCATAATAGTATATGCTACTTATTTAAGCTTTGTTATATCCTGTGTCTTTTTTTTCAGGCTATGTCGACTTGAGCATTCCTATTACAGCAAAAACAATGACAAAGTTGAGGTTAGTACTGTAATTATTTTTACCCTCAAGTGTCTCTAATGTCAAAATTAAACTATACCCTCCATATTGACTAAGCTTTTACTGAAGTTTATCCAGTGTTGCTCACAGGTATCAACACCGTGTTGGTGACACCATTCAAGCATACAAGGTAGTCAATAAGCTGCCTGTCTGATGGTGGTTTCTCTTTACAATCCAAAGATTCTGTAAATACAAAACCCTTTATTGATACCATGAACCATACAGCTATAAAACCATGTTGGGAGAAAAAAAACTTTATCACTTAATGTTTAGTTCTGTTGTGGAAAAGTCCTTATAAAACTTGGGCCGCATCGAGGCGGAGTTACAAGGTGGGGTGTAGGAAGCAATCGCCCCCCCCCCCCAAAGATTTAGGAAAACATTTATATTTTCACTGGATGTTTTAAATTATTTTTTTTAGTCAATTATAAAATTTAGCTTAAAAATATGAAGGTTGGTTTGTTTGGAAACTTGGAGTAGCGTGTATTACTTAATGAAAAACTATTTTATATTCTGGATAAGAAAGTAGAATGACTTATTTTTCTTTAGGAATCCAAGTCGCTTTCTGATGGGCACTGTGAGTGCTACTATACATTTCCATATCGCCGAACCTGTCACTGTGATGATGACCTCCCTTGACGATATTTTGCAAATATGCGTCCAACCTGCCGCCTAAACGTGTAAATTTGTAATTACAGTAGGCCTATGTATAAATCTTGTAGTACTTTTTACTCAGTCTATCCAGCGAGGGCTGGTCATCGATGTTGAGGTAAAAAAAATCCCTAAGATAAGAGATTGTGATTTTTTAGCAACATATTCTACTAGCCTTGATTGATTGCTTGAGTGGGGCTGGAGACAATCCAGGGGCGTTGCTCCCCGCTTGTTGCCTCAGAGCCCATCACATTTGATTTGCCTAATGAACTGCAGCATCCCTTTTCCTGACGAAAGTCTCCTCCCCTTGCTATTTTGCGGATCCTCAAGCAATGTAGGTGCATTCTTAACAAGCCACTATCCGTAATCATTTCTGTGATATGTTATAGTTGCCTCCTGTCTAGACATAGAATGTTGAAACAACTGTATGAAAAAGGGTTTGAGAGAGTGAGCTTGCTTACTATATGATGAAACCTTACTACTTAACTGTTAACTGGTATTTGGTGTTCATTTAGAGACTCATGACTCTTTGTGAGTAGTCTACTTAGCTGCAAAACATGTTTCTAGCAAACAGGTGACCGGGGGTTTAGACCTTTCTTCATATTAAAAATTGGTTTGTTGTATGTTTCAAGCTTCATTTCTTAGTGGAAGAGGATGATTTTCTTACTCAGGTAAATAAAAAAAAAATTTATTGCTCAGTTTACGTCTTGATCTTGATTTGACTTGTACATAGAATCACAGTATTTAGCAAATTATGTACATGATTTATCATACAATGTAGATCTCTGATCAATTATTTTGCTTAATAATGTCAATTTTTTTTAAATTTCAATGATTTTGTTTACAGGAAAAATACAATGAAGAAATACCCAGATCTACAGAAATATCTAGACCTTCAAAGATGTGTAGTAGGTAAGATACTTATGGTTTCCCAGATAAGAAATATTGAATTTATTATCTTTAAATACTAATCTTTAGATTACAAGTTAAAATATTTTGTTTTTATTTTGGCTAAATTATGTATCTTTTGCCTAACTTGAGAAAAAAACGTCTTATTTTTAACAACATATTAATTTTTTTAAATATATGTTACGACATATTTTAAAGATGATGTATAATTGTATGGAGTGTAGATTTCAACCATGGTTTATGGTGCTGCCCAAGATCACCTAAACCAAGGGGAAATAGTTGCTTGCTAACATATAGTTCACCTTATTGTATACTGCTTGAAGGAATACAGGCCTATCTTTTGTTTAGAAATTATTAATAAAAATACAAGTTTAAAATATAAATGCAGGTGTGCATTTACTATAGGGTGGCGCAGAGAAATGGGAAATTTTGAAATAATCATAATAAACCAAGAAAATTGTACAAAAAAATCATTAATGGTGACAATGTGTTGGTCAAGTGTGGAAAATACAGAAAAAATGTTGGAAATAGGAATAATGTTAAAAATCACAACAGTTAAGTGCTGTCTTTTGGGCCTATTCGTTCAATCAATTTGGAAGACTTAGCATTGTGCGACACAATGTGTCCTCTGGGATGTTGGCGACGTGTTCTTCGATCTGAGTCTTGAGCTCAATACGATTTCTTGGCCTAGTCAGGTACACAACGCTCTTTAGATGTCACCATAGAAAGAAGTCGCACACTGAGAGGTCTGAAGACCGTGGAGGCCAAATGATGTTAGCGTCCCTTGAAATGATGCTCTCCCCAAACAATTGTCTCCATGCAGCCATTGACAGATTGGCAGTGTGTGAGGTGGCTCCGTCTTGTTGAAACCAGGTTTGCTGGATTTCAATATCTGGAAAAGCATGAAGCCATGGAGCAAAAAATGTCTCCAGCATATGATTGTAACGTTGAGATGTGACAGTTACAGTGGAACCATCTTCATCCTCAAAAAAGTAAGGTCCAATCACACCAAGACAAGACACTGCACACCATATGTAACTTTGGGACTGTGTAACAGACGTTGATCAAGTTCAGTGGGATTTCGTTGAGCCCAGTAACGCATGTTCTGCTTATTGACATGTCCATTTAAATTGAAGAGACAGACATCCAAACATTTGCAGCTATTGCACTGTCACCATTTGTGTAGTACGCTGTCACGGCGACTGCACGCTCCGCACCACTCCACTGCTCCATCTGAACTAAATGTCCATTACTACTTGGTGTCATGACTTCCGTTTCTCATTCCTACAAGACATACAGGTGTACCAACAACGATTATATAACTAACAATATGATGTAAACAGCACATATAATACAATAAATGCTCGACCGGAAAATGCCTTCACCCAGAAGAAATGTTAATATAAACTAGCAGCAAACCGTGGACATGTTCTATGTTTTGTCTGCGGCACTTGAAAATTCTTACAAAATATTATAAATAGTGTTAAGTTCATTGACATACAGATGTGAAAAACCACCTTGTAAACAAATTTCATTTGGCCACTAATTACACTTTATCCGATTATATAGGCCTATGGTACGCATTTTAAATCCAATGATTTTACAGTAAAACAGCAACTTGGTCAGTGTGAAAAACATGAAGTAAAACTGGGGGCTAATTTTCACATCCTTCATAAGTAGCTACATACCACCTTCCATTGAATACTACGTATAAAGGTATAAGTAAACTTGTCTTACCTCTGTGGCCATTGAAACCTTAAGAGGTTTTTGGCCTTGCCAACCAACAACACATCTCCATTTTCTTCTGTAACCTGCCTCTTCTAATGTAGATCCCAGTTTAGAGAATACTTTCATTACTTCTTTCCAATTAATTCTTAGTCCTTCAAGTGGTCATCTACTTTGTGGTCCTCCTTGGAATACACTTTTAAATATTTGGAATGCACCAATATCTGGTATATCTGGGTGTTTATATACTTCTCTTAGCTCTCTGATGTTCTTTAGTATCTCAACCTCCGTTATCTTGAAGTGACCTATATGTTTTTTCTTGCACTCTATTCTCAAACACAATAATAATGTTTTTTTTCGGATTCCTTGATCAGTGCCTAAGATTCTGAACATTAAAGTGCTACTGGATGGTTATGATATAAATTGATTTTAGTTTTTACTGACAGCCATTTGGACTTCACCAGTTTTCTAGAGACCAATATTGAATACCTACCTTCTGTACCAGTTGACACTCTCATAACTAACCAACATTTTTATATGTTGGCATATAGATGTTCGAACATAAAGAGAACTATTATATCAACATGCAAACCACTTAACACTAAACACTTAATTAATTAAGCAACTAGAGGACCCATGCTGCTCCGCAGCGTTAAAATAAATATAATATCCGAGATATAATCAAATTTATGATTTTTGATTGAGTAATACATAGTATTTTGAGCTTAACTGATTCAAACAATCAATAGCTCAAATTTTAGCCTATAATTTAGGCTACTGATTATTTTGAGTCTAAAACATATAGAAAACATGAACAATACTGGAGCTATTGATTTTTAATTATAGAAAAACCTCATGAAAAATAATTTTTATGTTGGTTGTTTACCTATTTTGCTTGAAACTCGTCCAATTCAAATAACTAATAGCATAAATGAAAGTCGGTATTTCACTGAAGGTTCTTAGACCAAAATATATGAGTTTATATAGTTATAACTGGTGAAATGCATCTTTAAATGAAGTAAGAATTTGAAAATTTTTTGATTGATGGTGAGTCGGTGGCTCAGTCGGTAGCGTTGCGGACTTCGGGCCCAAGGCAGTAGTGTCGTGGGTTCGGATCCTGGTCACTGCCACTAACTTTTATCAGTACAGTTCACCTTTGTACTGTACCGGCTCACCCCTTGCTTTGCTGGATACGTTCCACGCACAGATCTGTAGTCTATGTGGACGGGCAAATGCAAGGTTAAAAGAGGCCGCCAACCTCTTAAAAAAAAAAAAAAAAAAAAAAAATGAATCAAATTATGTTTTTTGGTCGAGTAATACAGTAGGTAAATATATGCCGATGCTTGATGTCAAATCTGTGGTAAATATATGCCGATGCTTGATGTCAAATCTGTGGTAAATATATGCCGATGCTTGATGTCAAATCTGTAGTAAATATATGCCGAGGCTTGTTGTCAAATCTGTGCGTGCATGCCTTCAATTTGAGACCACAATCATGAAAATCGGTTGGGTAGAAGAGCCAAACAAACTCTGAAAAGAAAAACCAAATTTAACTCCCTCAAGAAGTACATGGGGAGCAAATTTCGTTTACGTATAAGCCGAGTGGGACTATAGATAAATATATGCCGATGCTTGAAGGCAAATCTGCGCGTGCATACCTTCAATTTGAGACCTCAATCATGAAAATCAGTCTGGTAGAAGAGCTAAACGAGTTCAGAAAAGAGAAATTAAATTTAACTCCCATAAGAGATACATGGATAGCGAATTTCTTTTACGTATAAGCAGAGTAGGAATATAGAAAAATATATGCCAATGTTTGGTGGCAAGTCTGTGCATGCATACCTTCAATTTGAGATCTCAATATTTTTTTTTAATATATAAGATAGTTTGCTGAAAAAATATTTCTCTAACATGAGTTCAAATTACCACAGCTTAAACTTATATTTACAAAGAATAATTTACAAGGAAACTTTATATAGGTACGTAAGAGTTTAGGATTAGTTCAAAATTACTGTTTCCTGAAAATCCTTAACGATAAGAAAAATCTACATTTAGTACCTTTTTTTTTTAGGGTGAGGAGGGAAAATGCTTTTACGCACACAGGTAGCCAGCCTGTAGTGTGAGACTCCTGAGTTTATCACAGACTACTCACTAAAAAAAAACCCTCTACTCTGTTGGACACAGACCTGGAATTGTTTGTCACATTACTTCAAGTCAGGTCAACATGTGACCTAAGCCCACAGGGCTCGCACCGTTTCTGGCATTATTTATTTTTTTGACCTACACCGCATCCCGGTCGAGGTCAAGCTTCTTGGCGCGGAGAACCCCCTGGATGTAAAGTGACACACAGGTCCAATTGTCCTCACCCTCCATCATCATCGGTATGACCGTGTCCACCGACAGCAGTCCTACGAACTGTTGAGCCTCTAGGCGGGGCCTTTCCCAATGCTGACAGTGGAAGAAAGTGTGTTCCACGTCATCGGGAATGCCTGGGCTTATGCAATCGGGTGACACGGCTTTGCCCATCCTGAACAAGTACGACCGGAAAAAGCCGTGACCCGTCAGAAATTGAGTTAGGTAGAAGTTCACCTCTCCGCACCGCCGATTAACCCAAGGTTGGACCTGTTGTATCAGTCGCCTGGTCCAGAGCCCCCTTGTCTCCTGTTCCCAGCTCTCCTGCCACAGCTGGAAGGTCCGGGTGCGTTCCTCAATTCTTGCCTGGTCCTCCCCACGGCGCTGATAAATTGCCTTCCTCTCCGCCGCCAAAAGTTTGACAGGGATGACTCCAGCAACCACTAGGACGGCGGGTTCGGACACTGTTAGATAGGCAGATGCTACCCTTAGTGCTGCCTGACGCTGCACTCGGGCGAGCCGTATCCTATATATCTCCTTATTGAGAGCGTCTGCCCAGACTTCCGCACCGTACAGGAGCACGGACTGGACCGCTGACATCAACAGCCTTCTGCGGCTGGACCGCGGACCTCCGACATTTGCCATTAACCGACTAAGGGAAGAAACCATTTTAGCGGCCTTGTCCGCCGTACGGGTGATCTGGTCTCGCCAGCTGAGCTTGCTGTCCACCATGACCCCAAGGTACTTTGCGGCACGAGTGGTTTGGACTTCAACGTTCCCCACCTTGATGGTGTCAATCCTCTTTTTAGTCAGAATCACAATCTCAGTTTTGCTCAGAGCGAGCGAGAGACCATGTTCTGCCATCCATGCGTTAATGGTTCGCATGACTCGATTTAGTTTCAGCTGGGCAAGCTCAATGCTACGTGCAGCTATTAAAGCCGCAACGTCATCTGCATACCCAACTAGGACAGTTTCCTCAGGCATCTCGGATCTCAAGAGGCTGTCGTAGGCGACGTTCCATAGGTCCGGGCCCAGTATAGATCCGAGCAGCACCAGAAGTTACATCCATCATCCTGGAGCCTTCTGTAGTGTCGTAAATGATGAGGCGGTACCGGAGGTAGTCCTCTATCATGCGCATGAGGTATGCCGGGACGTGGAAAGTGTTCTCCAGTGCGTCCAGCATATCGCACCACCTCGCGGAATTAAATGTGTTTCGCACATCAAGTGTTACAAGCAGCACAACCTGACGAGAATAGTTGTTAAACTCCTCAGCTCTCATTACGGCTCGCTTTACCTCCTCAATAGCGTCAACCGTTGACCGTCCCTTCCTGAAGCCGTACTGACGAGGGGATAGATTTCCTGCAGCAACCACGGCTGAATTCAGTCGGGAACGGATAAACTTTTCCAAGACTTTCCCAGCAGTGTCCAACATACATAGTAGAGGTCTGTAAGAGGAGGGTAGGTCTGGGTTTCCTTTTCCCTTCCCCACGAGCACATGCCTAGCTGTTTTCCAGCAGAAGGGAAACTTCCCCTAGGCCAGACAGGCATTGTACGTGCTCAAAAGGATTTGTGGATTTATTGAAAAGACTTTCTTCAGGGCCTCACCAGGTACCCCATCCGGTCCAGGAGCCTTGTTGTTCTTCAGGGATAGAACGGCCGCCTCCAACTCCTCGAGACTGAACAGCGGTACGTCGTCCACCCTTCCGAACTCCCGCAATGGGCGCAGTGTGTGAGTCGGGAAAAGGGACTTTACGATCCTCTCCATAGAGGCCCCGTCCATAACGGAAGGTGGAGAGCGGGTGCCAAGCTTCTTGGTTACTATCTTGTAACCCAGGCCCCACGGATCGGAATCGACATCGTCCCTTAATTTCTCCCAGCAACTGCGTTTGCTCCGGTTAATGGCCCGGCGAAGAGACTTCCTAGCCAACTTGTAAGCTTCAGCCTTAAGACGTCTATCTTCAGGTTCTCTGGCCCTGGTAGCAAGACGTCTGGCTCTCAATGCTGCCCGTCGCAGTTCTGCGATCTCGGTTGTCCACCAGTACACAGGTCGCTTATCGCACCGGGATCTCCTGCAAGGCATTGACTCTTCGCAGGCCGAGACTATCAGCCTCATCAATGATGTAACTGATGTCTCTGCGTGAGCCACGCCAGATGCAGCAGGTACCACTGGCTCTCCCCGTAGTATGACTTCGGTGAATTTGGCCACGTCCAGCTTTTTGGTGTTCCACCGAACGGGCACCTGCCGAGACACGGTAGCTTGTCTCTGATGACTATCCAGGACATCAAAAATGATGTACTGGTGGTCACTGGCCGTATAATCCTCTAGGACTTTCCAGGCTCGTATCCTCGGCAAGAGGGACTCAGATGCAAGCGTGATGTCTGGGATCGTTCCCCTCATTCCGGGACGCTGGAAAGTTGGCGTGTTGCCCTCGTTTATGACAACAAGTCCAGCCCTGGCAACAAAGTCCAGGATGTACTTCCCCCGGGAATTAGTGAGAGTCATTCCCCACTCGACAGCCCTAGCATTGAAATCCCCCGCCACGACAACGTGCCCAGCGGTATCGCGCACGCTCTCTTCCAGGCGGTCTATCTTTCCTCGAAAGTCACGGATAGCCTCGTTGGGGGTGAGGTATACACTAAAGTAAGTGACATCCCCGCACCGGACCCAAACGAATCCTCGGCCCTTCGCGTGACTCCTCACCTGCACTTTAGTTGTATTACGAACCCAGAACGCTTAGTACCTAACATCATGAAAATATGTAATGTAATACCATCAGTATTTTTGTAAACCACAGTTTGAAACCAGCTGTTAGTTAAACCAAATTAGATTGAAACAACCAGAAAGATGACGTGGCTTCTAGACTTTTAAAACATAATTTTAAAAAAAATGTACTCCCAAACTAAAATTTTAGCTTTGACATTTCCTTCGTTTCAAAATTATCTTCCATCCAAAGCAAAAACCATGAAAACCCGTCAGTGGGTGTTCTTGCACTGATTAAACACTCAAACTAGCTAATTCCTGCATTTACTTACTTTCCCACACTCATTTCACTTTCTCACACTCATTTTACTTTCCCTCACTCCGGTATTTCAACAAAACAAAGCATAGTAGTAGTTTTCAATAGTACCTTCGATTGAAAACAAGGAGGCATCACTACAAAATGGACCAGCTCTGGTGCAGTGTTTATTTGTCATTGCTTTGGACTTGACTTAACCTATAACCTGTTGTTGAGTGTTAACATAATCATTACAGAATCAAATACATTCCGATTTTGATTCATTATGTTAAATTTTATTCAGATTTGTAATTGTTTATTTGTGCAACAATTGTATTTAAGCTTTGATTTGTTTGTAAAACAATTTAATTTAGGTTTGAATTTCTTAATTAGCGAAACTGCGCAATACAAGTTCACCTGTATATACAATTACCCATTATTTATATGATTTACAGTACCGTAACTGAAAAAAATATGCTTTATAGTAGGAAATTAATCTGTAACATGGGCAAAGTGCCACTTTACGCACTAGTTACATAAATAACTATTGTTCTCTTCATCCTTTATGAAGCTTTTCAACTTAACAACAGTATAAATTTTAACCTTAATTAAAAATGAAAATTAAGTAAGAATTTTTCAAAGAATGGTTGTATAGTAATGAGTATAGCAAACATAGATAAAGAAAGTATCGATCTGTTATGTACATCTTGAGTATTTCCATAATCTTTGAGTTGAATCTTTTAAAGTCATCAGAATTAATGACTGTTATTCGTTTTAAAATAACGCCTGTAATAGCAATTGCTCGAATTTGAGCAACTGGGGCACTAGTTATAACTTCATCTATGATTACAGTCTGACTGTGATTGAGATCTAGTTTTTTTGTTGAAAATTAGGGATGGCAACACATATGGCTATATGCCTATATGGATAATATATATAAATTAATATATTTATCATTTTATTTGGGGAATTTCAATATTGATTTGGTGTAGTTAAAATGTAATATATATGCCTAATAAATATATGGATGTAAATATATACATATATCTAAAATATTGATTATCGATACTGTATTTGTTAAAATTTTGCCATCCCTATTGAAAGTACACAAGTAAAACTAAGGATATTATTAGCAGTTAGTAATTTTAAAAATTCAATTTTTAACTTTTCAAACGTAGTATAAAAATATCTGTTTTTTGTGTTTTTAACATTTACATTTTTCTGTGCTTTCAAAGGATTTGCTCATTCTTTAAACCTAACTCTTATAAGGTAAGAAACCCCTTTTATGTAATCTTCACCTAATTTACTGTACCAGCAAAACATGGTTTTGACTATATTATATTCATCACTTAGATGAATCTATCTATAGGCCTACTATAATACAAGTAGTGTTTGCGTACCACAATTTAAAAAAAGGCTCCAATGATTTCCTTTAAACTGTTAGAAATATCTTAGTTTCAGACTAAAAGAATATCCATGCTATCCTCAGTTCTGGAATAAAAAATTGTTGTTGAAAACAATGAAATTTTAATATTTTCAACATTGGTCTTATGTATAGCCAAATAGCAAAGACAGTTTTACGAAAATGCAAATAAATGAATTATAACATATGCTTGACAAAAATAAACTACATTTCAATAGCAAATTCATTATTAAATATAGTACAAAAGAAAAGGAAATTAAACTTGGGGTGTTTTTACTAGGCAATGGAATAGTTACGACTGTTCAAAATTGTAGAGTATTTTACAAAAGATTATAAACTAATGCTGAACTTAGTCTTGAGGGAAAGCCAAGGACATTTTGTAGTTTTGAACGATGCGCTGTCGGAATGGGCGCGATCCCACGGATTAAAAAATGGAAACGGTATGGATCATAAACAAACAAATGACATGAAAATAAATATGTTTGTATTATTATTTAAATGCACCTGTCAAAAAAACGTCTAAAACAGTTGTAGAGATTATTATTACTAGACTCCATCCAGTGACGTCATTCTTTTATGTTTTTGATCCATACCTTATCTGTTCCAGTATCCATGGACGATCCCATTGTTGCGACGTTCCGCTATCCAATGATGAACATGTCCCAACCATAGAGCACATAATATTTGCAACTCACAACAATTCTGTTCAATAGATGTTAAATATTATCACGAGTTTGTCATTGAACTTTATTCTAGAAATGTTCAATATAGATTGTTCGTCTGTATGGAAAAGTGTGTTAAGTAGATTAAGAATGAAGAGGGACGTCTACTAAAGAGAAGTTTGCTTTAGGACTTAATTAAACGTGGAAAAATTAAAAATGAAAAAGGTCTCTTTCCCAGTTTTCTGTCTTCCTATATTCTTTCAAAACCCACTTTCGGTGATCAATGATAATGTAACCAGCCATGTTGACACATATGTTTTACTAACAACAGTAACAATGGGAAAACGTTGCCAGCTGTTAGTAAAAAAGTATCAAACAGCTGATGGTAATGAACAGGTAGCCAACATGAATATTACGATCAACCAACTAAAACAGGGTAACTTACTTTTGCATCCCTCTGTACATACAGGGGGGGGGGGGAAGTCCCAGGATGGTAAAGTATTTCAAAAAGTAATAAAGATAGAGCTTAAAAACTTGGCCCACAGTTAATGGGCATTAACACGTTGGGTGCTGATGACGGGAATTCCCGCCATTGCTTAACATTGAAATAAATGCAATTTTCATGTTCAAACATGTCAACGGCACTTTAAGTGTTAAAATCATTTTAACACATTATTCAGTGATGCGCTACAGCTTCAGGGGGATGTCCCTCTAGGATTCAGAAGTAAATCTTAAATATAAGCATAGGTTAATATACACATCAAATTAAAGGTATTTATAAGTAGAATACAATCCCTTAAATTTGAGCTCAAAAGAACAACTGAACTGGTTAAAACCTCATGTTCTTCCGCTTTTCTTTATTGCTGCAACTTATCTTAAACGAAAGGGTTCCTCTCAACTTTTTAGAGCTACAGTCAATTTGATAGCTTTCTCAGCTACTCTTCGCTGAATACAATGATAGTACAGTATACTATTCACTTTTAAGGAATCCCAAACAAAGAATTCCTTAAACATAACATCAGGACATCTGGCTGACCATGCAACGAGTCTGCCTCGTCCAAAAATCCATAAAACTAAGTAGTTTACCTCATTTGTGTAATTAAGAGGAGTGCTACCTTTTGATATTACAGTAGAGTCCCGCAAACTCGGCACTCGATAACCCGGCAGTCTGGATAACTCGGCCATCACCTCGCTCAGAAAATTAGTGATATTTTGAGTCCGAGTTAAACATGGACTCAAGCCAGCTCAAGTAAAATCATTCACAACTCGTACCAAGGATTCTTTGTACTATATCTGATGACTTAATACTGACTTGTAATATAAAAAAAGAGGTTAGAAAAGCTTAAAAATTGTATTGTCCTTATTTTTAACCCTAGTTCCCGATAACCTGGCATTTCACAAACTCGGCACCCTTCCAGTCCACATTACGCCGAGTTTGCGGGACTCTACTTGTATACTTCCTATTTAAATTTGACATAAATCTAAGTGATCTAAGACTGAAAGTAGGGTGCTGCAATCAAATCTATATTGGCTTCTCAATTCAGTTTTTTGTTTAAATATTTGCCCCATTAAATATTTTTTACATATTTTTTTTACTGAAGCCCCGTGCTCTACCACTAGACCAGCTCGCTCCCCCAACTACATGATTTATGAAAACAAAACCAAATTTAAATTTTCTATATTTTAAGGGGTTCCTCTTGAAGCGGGAGAGACTACATTAGTTCACATTAAGTAAATTTGACTTTTCTAGAAATTGTGAATGAAATCAAGCCGTATCAAATAATTAAATCTCAAAAAAAGCTAAATTTTGAATCTCTATACAGTACTACTATAGTAAATGCATACCTATATTTCAAACAATACAGAAAAAGGTGGTCAGTGGTCTTTATGGTGGAGTTTTGGGAGACAAGGCTGCAACTCCCTTCCAAACATTAAGACAAATATTAATTTTTAACTAATTATTACAAAGGATTCTTTTTTAAATATTCCTGCCGCAGCAAACCTGCAGATCCTATGGTTTTGGAAATGTGTTATTCAAAATACAGTAGATTGAGTCTCATCTACTTTACTTTTGGTTTTTGTTCTCAGCATGTTCACAACGGGAACCACCTGAGGCTAGAAACACAGGTAGACTGGCCTGAGACCAAATGTGATTCTCCTAGTTCGACTGACAACCATAATGTTGGCATCAGTGACAGTGATAACATACAGTTGGTAACACTGGATGTGCTGTCGTTACGTAACATACAGCCTCAGTGGAGACAAGTCAGTCTTACACCCCCCAGCTCTGTAGATCTAGAGTGGGAGAGTGAAGGTAAGGCAATAGGCCTAGCATCTACTTAGCCTTAATAGAGATGTTTCAATATGAATATCGGGCGTTCAACCGTTTATAATTTATTTACAGATAAATGAAACAACACATCAACTTGAACATTTATACCTTAAAGCTGACAACGTAAGCACCATTTTTCACACATCACAGTGTTGTCACTGTGAAAGTTCTCCCAAACATTGATGAGTGTCCTCGAAGTAATTGAAGCAGCAGCTGTTTTACCCTGTATTTTCATAGTCTGTGGAAATTGAATAATGGCAACAAGAACACTTACACATGCATGATCTTGAATAAAACCTAAAATATATTTAGGTTTTGGCAAAATTGTGGGACTATTGGTAGAAAGGTACAGTCCATTCCATGTTAAAGCTAAAGATATGTAGTTTTAAGCCACCGATAGAGTGTACTGCTGTCAGTGTCAAGTACTAGTTTCTGTAAAATATATTTCATCTGTTTATTGTGTATTATGGTCAAACACTAGCACACACTTGTGAGAGGCTTTGTATACTAAATTCACTGCCATACATCTGGACCTTTTCATAAATATGTCATGTCTTTTTCAGTATCCAAAAGTCTATAGAAAAACTAGGAAAGTTGTGACCATTGACCGTTGGATACTGAAGTAGACGTCCCATCAATATGGACTAGCTTTTTATAATACCTACTTTGTATGGTCGCCATTTCATCGAAAAGCATAAAGTATAAGTATAAAGCATAGTATTCATTCTGACTAGCTTTTGCCAATTTTTTATTTAAAAAGAACGTAATTTGTTGTGTGAGCCAGTCACTCACAGAATGCGCTAGTGTCTAAAATGCAATTTTCAGGTCCGCGGAATTGGCTAACTCTGGAGCTTGCTAACCCCATGTTAAACGCCCTATCTTCAAATTTGATTGATGAGAGGAACTCATCAAAAAAACACATTAACACACAGTTAACTTATTCGGTTATACAGTTTAACTTGTTCGGTTTTGGAATTGGCTAACTCCGGAACCCGCTAACCCGCTCTATAGCCGGGTTAGCGAATTCCGTCCTCGTACGGAAGTCGCTAACTCAGTCCCTCGGCGGAACTCGCTAACTCCCAATCAGAAGCCTCGTGCGCCGTCCAATGAGAGCCAAGCAGGCCCGGTCTGGCCAGGGCGGCTGGTCGGCGATCCCCGAGGGCCTCCGGCTCAAGGGGGCCTCCAAAAACCAAAAAATCAATTCAAAAAAATTTAGTTATAATAAAAAAATATTTTGTTTAACTGTTTCACAGCGACGTAGTCTTGCAAAAACAATTTTTAATAATCAATACAGTACTCTTTTTTTAATTGAATTACAGTTAGGGGTAGCCCCTAAGTACAGTGATAGTCACTCGGTACTAGAGGATAGTCACCGATCTCACTGCAACGCACCGTTCGAATCAGCTCAGTGCCAAGCGCTCCGCGGTAGTGACGAGGCATTGCCGTGCCGGGGCGTCTGCGATATGTCTGGTGTCTGGACTCAAGCAGACAGCTTAGCGCTTGTACTAGTATAGTGATGGGACAACCGACTGGAAAAAACTATCGACTAGTCAATTTGTCAATTGGTTGTTTTTAAAACCAGTGGTTTTTTTTCAGTCGAATGAAAAACCGAGAGAATTTCACTACAACAACAACTGGTGGCGTTCAATCGGTGCAGTGGTTTCAGTCATTGCAAAGAAAATTATCGAATATAATTTTACTTTAAACATTGGAGTTTTCCCGCTTGATTCCTATTGTTTGTTGTCATTTGCATTAATATTTTGTTACATTGGTATAAAACGTAATAGAATGACAACACTTACAATTACTTAAAAATTTTTAGTTTATTACATGACTGCAAGTTTTAAGTCAGTAGGCCTAATGTCTCTAACTCAGTATGACAAATATTCCTATTTATTTGTTACCTGGTTTTTAAAACAGATTTTACTACAGGCATTAAAATCTTAATCATCAGTATATAAAACACAGTGTCTGGGCAATTTTGTATTTTTTTAAACAACAAAAATAAATGCAATTTCATTTTATGTATCATCCCTAAAAACTGTTCCCAATTCCTATCCGTCAGTTTATCTACAACTGATTTTATTCGACCAGTCAGCCTCATCTCAACACCAAAAGGTCGAGTATGGTGTTACGACTAGTTTTATCACCGACGACTGTTTCCAGTCATTCCTACGTAGTGGATTATGACGTAATTTTTGAAAGATTACTAACACGTGAATCGTTCAGTTCATAAAATGAAATGTGTGCACCCAAGTGGCGCAAGTAAAATAAAAATGGATAGGAAATATTTCAAAATAAAAACAAATTAAAGTCAAACTGTTAGAACTTATGGTTAGCTGGTTTCAGTTCCGATTCTGCTAACAATGAGAAGTCGCAAACAGGCAGGCGGAAATCATCAGAAGTTTTTTGTAAGCCTTGTAAGGCTTAAATTAAAATACTTTTGATTATTTCTGTTTGTCTTTGTTGCTGAAGTACAACTATGGAGTAAAGTGTGTGATAAACAGTAAATGTGGTCCATTCATAGATGTATTCAAAATTCAAAAGTGGTACGTGATATGCTTTTTACCATGTATGGCAAAAACTCCAAGAACTAGGTTTTGGTCTTATTTTTAAATTGAAGACTTAAAACAATTTTAAGAATAGGCCTTAAAATTTTATGGCAGCTGTAGAGGTGAATAGAAATACGAGCAAATTTTATATCAAATTTAAATTGATTGATACCTTGGAATTACATTTATAAATACAAAGATTTTAATTTACGGAAATTTAGCAATTATTAATTTAATCAAAATTATCAAAAACTTTTAATCATTTAAAACCACATTAGGCCCCTTTTATGAACCTGCGGCATGCAGCAAACATATATGCTAACTAATTGTTGCCGTGAGAGCACCCCATGGTCCTTGTTTTATTTCTGGCTGAGGGCCTCAAATCAACATCTAGCCAAGGGCCTCCAATGGAGCCAGACCGGGCCTGGAGCCAAGCACAAAGATTGTTGGCCAGGGTTGCCGAAAGTGTAGTATCTACAATCGTATCGGTACCATAATATCGTATCCTACGAATAGTTAGGAGTAAGAGCAATGTAGCCGATAAAATAAATATATATTCAGAAGTATGTTTATTATTATTCTTATGATTATTATTATGGTGAAAAATGTATTATAGTCTTACCATAGACTAACCAGTACAAGTAAACTTTACATCCCATTGTAAATGTCGAAGCTCGTTTTTTAGTTTACGTCCGGTGACACAGATTGCTAGTGTCGTCGAAAATGTGTTTCTATTATTTTATAGTTGATTTCATGATTTGTTCTCTACTGTTTGGTTATACTAGGAGACATGTTATTAGTTATTATTAAAACGTTTTATTTGGTTAAACGAGGTTTTAAATGACTAAAAACAAGAAACAAATTGTAAACAAAACACGACCTCTACAGACAGTGCACCGGACAGAACTAACAATAAAATTGTCTTCACCTGATCTATAAGGATGAGAAATGTACTAATATAAGGGAGTATGTTTTATCTATTGTCTTCTTACTTAAATAGTAGTTTATTGGGATGCTAAAAGATACTGTACATTTAATTTGGATCTTTTACAGGTTATGAAATATCTATTTTCGTAGTCGGTCATTTGTTTCTTTTATTCGAATTAATACCATTTTGTGAACTTCTGCAAATAAAATTATTAAGTTCGTATTTTATATACTGGGCTTGTAAACTTGAACGCTTGTCCTTGATAGCTTATAATATTTGATTCTTTAAAGGCCTATTATATCTGTCGTGCGAGTGTTAACAATAGTTTGGTCTTCTTAATATTTCTGTATTATTACCGGAATAATACCGAATCATAGTATTAGTAAACAAATAAAATAGTTTCGATATTTTTGTATAGCAGACACTTGATATACCTAGGTACACTAATTAATAAGGGAAATCTAAAACGTTAACACTGTACAATATTGCGTCTTTACTTTAGCCAAGACAATGAATTTAAATGTTGTTACATTATGTTGTTAGGAAACATATAATCTATTAACAAAAATTGAAGCAGTATTGTAATAATCTATTCTATTCTAGGCAACCAACAATTAGACATTATAAAATAAAACTCCAGTAATTGCCATAGAATTTATGCCTAGAATTTTTAGAATTAACTTCCCGATAAAATTTTCACGTAAAATTTCATTACAGAAATACATTTTAGTAGTTTTTAATATGTTTTTAAATAGAACTATTGAATTTAAATAAATATTAATTAATACAATATAAAGTGGTAATGCATTTATGGATTGTATTAAAATTTAGTCTATGCAAAAATACAATTTGTAAATTTCTGTTATCGTAGGCTATTAGTGTAGAACGGGTCAACCTCTTAATTTTGTTTACAGTAACTAATATTAATTTTACGTCTTTCAATACTTTTAAAATGTCTGGAGATGTTATGGTTCTAAATGGACCCAGGCGTTCCTGTTTGTTACCATTTTTATGAATGGTGGCAAAAAAAATTAAAAATTAAAATTAGCTGGTCTTATCCAACAACAAAGCTATTAGTATTGTCTATTGAGTAGTTCAGTACAGGGGGACGGGGAACTGAGCAATGGCTTGGTATCGTATATTTCGATTGTAAAAGTAATATAAAGGAAACTCAACACTAAAATCAGGAATATCTGCCAAGTCGTTGATTAAGAATCGTGAAATAAAATACCCCTGTCACGTTTTATTATAAGAATGTTATATATTCTCCTATTATTTACTAGTGGGGTTTAGGTTTACAATCTAAAAACTGTTATTAAAACATGTAACATTATTACTCAACAATTCAACAAATTTTAGAATTAATTAGGCAACTAGCTTTTATACTAGTAGGCCTACAATGCTTTGGTTTGAACTATTAGGAATAGGATTTACAGTTATTCTATAAATAAGTTGTTATGAAACGAATCCCATGTCATATTTTTACACGTAAGTTGGACGATTCAACGACGAACTTTAATTTTAAATCTATGAATTAGTTTTAAAAGTGGTTTTGGTTTATTACGACATCACGATTAAATTTGCTTTCCGTGTTTGAGACTTGCGTGTATTTTAGCTTAATTTCAATAGGTTTAATTAGTACTACTGGTTGATCAATATTTTTCAAATTTTATTATTTTCCTATAATACTGGCATTTATATTTAAGATCTAAATTCATTTAATTGGCAGTTGTACAGTTAAATAAAAAAACCCTTTTTAATGATTGTTTAATTGCTTTTTAATAACTTTGGGCTAGGTAGCTGTTAAAAATGGAATTGATAACGAAAATCAATAACATTTACTGCATCTTTATTGACACTGACATTTTGAAATACGACATTGTACGATTATTTCGTCGTACAAGGCTGGCAACGCTCCATGCAGTGGGCGCGGCCGGGTTAGCGACTTCCGCCGCTGGACAAAATCGAGTTAGCGGGTTCCAGAGTTAGCCAATTCCTGACTGAGACGGTTAGCCAGTTCCAGAGTTAGCCAGTTCCGACACACGACCGAGTTAGTGAGTTCCTGAGTTAGCCAATTCCTACGTCTCCAATTTTCTACCTTTTTTTTTTGTTGCTGACCAAGTTGATGTGACATAACAGTTGCTATAGCTCAAATAATTCATTCTATTAGTTTGAATTGGTAAAAAAGTTTGTGTAACCGACAGAAATCAGTAATTTAGAACAGCACAATCTGTCGGTGGCTCATATCAACTACGATGATTTTAATTTAAAAATCTGGCACCAATTTTAACGTGGTGATGGAATTTCTGGTTGTATCAATAGTCAAAGATAGTGACTTCAAACAAGCTCTAACAAACAAACAATACAGTTATTTCAATTAAAAAATTGTGCAGTTATAGGGAAAAGTAGGACAGAAACTATATTCAACCAATAGCAATGTTTTCCAAAGATGCCACCTCACGTTCGCTCATTTAATGTATAATTTTTTTATTAATGTTTGATCAATGCAAGAAATCAAACCTGTAAAGCCTTGTAACCCTGGCTATTTTTAAAATATTTATTTATTACTTTGGTAGTAGAAGCTAGTAGGCCTATTATAAACGATAAGAAACAAATTTACTCTTTGTAAACTGATAGCAGGAGCGTCCCAGCGAAAAATTTTTTTAGGAGGGGCAAGTCCTAAATTTGGCGCCCTTTTATCACGCAACTGTGGATTTTTTTTAAACAAATTATATAGCTACCTCATTTTTGCTGCCCCAAAAATTTACCCCACAGGACAAATTACCCCCCCCCCCCTGCCCTCATTAGCTGTGGCTCTGACTGATAGGGTTGAATATGACGAGGGTTGTCTGTAAAATAAAGGACTCCATGGAGCTCCCAGCACACCCAACAAAGCTAGTTCAAATCTAAAACCAAGGACCAATGGTGTTCCTTACTTCATCCACTACTATTCTAGCCGGTTCCTGTGAGACGATTAGTATTGTCATAGTATAATTTGAAAACATTATGAAAGAAAATTTAAACTCCTGCCAAGTCAAACACGTTCTCTAATTAATTCGATTTCTGTGGTCCCAGTTGTCAACTTCTATAGAAGTACATTGCTAGTTGACTGATGTAAATGGGGTAATTTGACTGCTGGGGTAACGGACTGCTGTCGTTCATCAGTATTGTTTAAAGCAGTAACCAAAGTTAGGGGACTATTGTAGGCTATACAAATTCAAATTGCAGTAACTGAACAAAAAAAAAAAACTTGTCTGCACACACATTTGTCAACAACTAGCATTAGTAATCAGCAGAGGTGACCCTTTCACAACATATTCAAATTACTATGCCAAGATTAATCGTTCCATAGAGTAGGTCCAGCTAGAATAGTATGGTACGAAATAAGGAAAAAAACATTTTTCTCAGTTTTGCACTAGCTTTCTTGGCTGTGACAGTAGCTTGATGGAGAGACCTTAATTTATGGACAACACTTGTATTTTAGTTTTACATTAGAATAGCTTTAAAAACAGAGGTAAATTAACGTTTGGAATAATTTTAATATAAAAATTAAACTAATAACTGTTGTGCAGACATTGTTGGGAACATGATGCCTCTGTGTCAGCGTCGGCTGCTGAGCACGACTGAAGACTGTTCACTGAGCTCTGTGGTGGAAGGGAGTCCTGCAGAGTCCCTGGAGTGGGACAGTGGCGAGGGAGCGCTCGACACTGACACTGAACAGCTTATCTGTGAAATTGAGCGCCTGACTGCTAGAGCGCTGCGAGAGACAGGCGGGGAGTGGGCTGACAGATAGTACAGCTGTTAGATGTATAACTGTAGTCGCCAGTCTTCCAGGGCATACTCAATGCCAGTGTCTGATGGATGAAGATTGTATTTCACCGTAGTGCCTACTAGATCACCTGACCCTAAACATCGGTGCTTACTACATTTTATTTTTGCTCAATTTGATACACAGTGCAGATAATGTTCTATTTTAAAACATAAGAGTTTACTTATTTATGATGATAAGTTAAAATAAAACATGTTTATAATCTATTGATGTTTATAGAAAGCCAAGTATTCATAACTAAATAAAAAAAAAACAGTATCAGCAATCTGACACATACTTTCTGCCTCTCGCTTGTCAACAACCTTAATCATGGATAAGCGGTGGGAGTAACTATGATATTTTATACTGTCAACCAAGTGATACCTGGTCTATGTGTAATATTAAAATTTATATCTCGGGCCGTGGCAATGACCGCAGCGTCGCAAATATGTGGCGATCGGCAATAATCTATAATATAATTAATTGATTATTAATGGGAATAATAATCGATTAGTATTTTTATCGAATTATAATCTAAAACATACTTTAATTTAATTTGTTTTTATTTAAATTTTGTAAATACACTTTTTCAATACATTCAGTATTGCCAAAAAATATTTGATATTGTCTACTTGTACCTGAAACAGTATTAATGATAATAATGCTGCTACCTCTTCTCTGAAAAATTAACAGAAAGAATATAGGTAGGCCTAATTAAGTTTTACAAACCTAATTGAAAACCCAGTTGTAGGTAAAGTAGTGTAAGCAACTCGAGCTCGAGTAATTAGGATTTACGATACTCGTAGAAGTTTAAAGGCACTCCCAAAAGTTTGTCACTTAAATTTCTACTTGTGTCGTAAGTAAAGACTATCTTTAGGTGATCACTGTGTAAACTATACTATTACTAAGCTGTTCACATATCTTTATAGTAAAGTTGACTATAACCCTTATTTGGGGTAAAAAAAACTTGTTGCAGGGTCCCTTTGAGGGATTTAATTTTTTTTATCATAGATATCATCGATTGTATGTTTGCCGTTTGGAGAGGTTGTGGTTTTTTGTGGATAATAATTATGAAAAGTGACTTATGTGCGTCTCTTTCATTTTCAATCCATAAACCTATGCAAATTCCTTATGGATTTTAGTTTTGTTTTTACAATTAATTTTTGTATTGCAATCAAATTATTTTAATGCTATCCAACCTCACCCTTGATTATTGTATGACATTTTTCACCAAAATCATGTACATAGAAAAAACAGCTACTGTATTACCCTAGTCTTCTTATTATTATTTATCATTATTATTTTATGACCAGCATTGGACCACTTAAGTCAATATAATGGTTAGATTCTTTTTAAATTCTGTCTCTTCTTCTTGTCCGCCCAATACTTCTTCATTCTTTCCAACCGTTGTTTTCTTTCTTCTTCCGAAACCACTCTTCCTTGTCTCTGATTGTTTGCTCCTATTGGCAGGATGATATTTTTGTTTTTGAGTACGGTACTGTAAGCGCCTCTGACTTATTTTCCAAATCTTCTAATGATATTTTCAACATTCTCATGTCCTCCTTAATCTCTGTAATCCACCTAAAGTCACTCTTGCTATTCCACAACTTGTCAATTATTTTCTTGCTTATTCTATTTTCCGGTGTCCTTAAAAGATGTCCAATGAATGAAATTCTTTTCTTTTTATTAATTATACTTGTTAATGGCTCTATTTCCTTATATACAGTTTTATTTGAGGCCAATCTCCAAACTCCATCTTTTTGATATTTTTTGTTTATACATGTTCTGATGATTCTTCTTTCCATTTTTAGTATTTTATCTATTGCTACAGTGTTAGTTGTTTTAAACATAGTTTCACTTGCATATGTTATTTGTGGAAGTATAACTGCTTTGTAGTGTTTCAATTTTGTTGCTATTGATAGGCATTTTTTGTTGTATGTGTTTTTAGTAATATGTTGCATTCTGATCAATTTATTAATTCTATTTTGCCATGATGGATTTTCTTTAAGATTGGATCTTATGACTTCACCTAAGTATTTGAAATTTTTTACAATTTTGATGCAATGTTCTCCAATTTTGATTTTGTTAGCCAATGGTGGTTTTGTTAACATTATTTCAGTTTTCTCAAAAGAAATTTTTAGACCTATGCTCTGGGCTATTTCCTGAAGTGATTTTATTTGTTGCTTGGTTTCTTGGATGTTATTAGCTAGAAGAGCCAGATCGTCAGCAAATCCTAAACAGTTTAACTTTATGTCATCTTTTTTTGTTCCAACAGTAATATTTTTTGGGTTTGTTTTAAGCCATTCCCTCGTATTCAAGTGCACAGTTAAAAAGAAGTGGTGAAAGGCCATCTCCCTGTCTCAAACCAGTTTTGACCAGGAAAGGTTCTGATATTTCTCCTCTAAATTTAATTTTATTGAAGGTATTTGTCAAGGTAAGTTCTATAAGTTTTATTAATTTTGGGTGGAGTCCGAAATGTCTGAGAATCTTTAACAATGATGGTCTATGGATGGAATCGTAAGCTTTCTTAAAATCTACAAATGTTATTGAAAGAAGTTTGTTTCGTTTTCTGTAGTAATCCATAATCAATTTCAGCGTAATTATTTGTTCTGCACAGCTCCTCCAAGGTCTGAAGCCTCCTTGGTATTCTCCTAGTTCATTATCAAGTTGTTCCTTAATCCTATTGTATAAAATTGTTGAAAAAATCTTAGGCAGGGTGCACACTGGAGAAATCCGTTTCAGGGAACCGATTTCATGAAACGAGAAACTTTAGTTGCTCGCAACACATGGATTAGTTTAACACAGGGCAGTGCACACTGCGTTGCATGAAACTTTAATTTCATTTGTTTCTTGAAACTGGTTTACATGAAATCCAAAAAACAGATTTCGTATAGGCTTCAGTTTCACGTTTCTAGTTTTATTGACTTACCTCAGTGTATTGTTATTTTTCTTCAGCACTCGGAGCTAACCTCCGGTTGGTGTCCTTCTTTGTTATTAGTGGGCTAAGTAACTCCACTAAACGTTAAAAAAGAGGCATTGGCATTCTAAAAATGTAAAAAAATACAGGATCACTGCATAATTAACGAGCTACAATGTAAGTACCGTGTTGACCATCCCTAATCAACGGGTGATCCCAATACTTCCTTCTTTTCGTTTTCTTTAGCCACCCCTATAATCATCATCCGAATTCATATCACAAAACTTATGGAATCCCGTTTCTTCTGTGTGCATTTGTTAAAGAAATGGTTTCCTTGAAACCAATTTGATGAAACCAGTTTCCTGAAACGCGTTTCTCCAGTGTGCACCCTGCCTTATATGTGCAATCCAAAAGTGAAATTCCTCTATAGTTATCCGGGTTGCTCTTATCTCCTTTCTTGTGAAGTGGATTGATTACGGCTGTGGTCCAATGCTCTGGGAATTTCTCGGTTATCCAGATTTTTTGTAATATCATATGTAGAGATGTTTTGTTGATTTGCCCGTATACTTCCACATTTCTGCATAAATTTGATCTTCACCAGATGCTTTATAATTTTTCATATCTTTTAGTGCTAATTCTACTTCTTGTATTGTAGGTGGGTTTAAATTTTCTGGATTTGTTTTTATAGGAGTGTTCGTATTTATTGTTAAAAGATTTTTAGGTTCGTCGCAGTTTAATAGTTTATTAAACGCTTCTGCCATAATTTCTGCATTCTCCTTGTTATTATGGGCAATTTTTCCATCTTTGTTTTTCAATAGCAATGTAGGAAGGGTGTAACAACTTAACTGTTTATTGAATGATTTGAAATAATCTCTAGAATTTGTTTTGAAGTAGTTTTCTTCTATTGATTTCAAAAGATTCTTATGATATTGTCGCTTTGCATTCCGGATAATTTTGGAGCATTTCTTCCTGATGTTTTTGAGATTCGTGGCATTTTCTTCTGACTTTTGATTTTGAAATCTTACCCAGGCTTTATGTCTTACTTCAAGAGCCTCGTCACATTCTGTGGTCCACCAAGCATGTTTCTTACGTCGATTCAGTGGGGCTACTTCTTCAGCATGTTGTTTTAAGATTGGTTTTAATTCTTCTAAATTATCAGTTAACTTTATTTCTTGTGTCATCTTCTTATATTGTTCATTTTTTATTAATTTACGTCTTCTTATTATGGCATAGTTTTAGGACTTTTGTCCATTTTATCTTACTGTACCCTTAAGGCCAAAAAACCTTGGGTTAAAGTATTGGGTAATTGTTTAGTATACTTACAATGGTAAAAAATAGAATTTTTATATGTCTACTATTAACAAACTCAAATTTCAATAGGTAGGTAATTCAGATGGTGGTTGTTTGGGCGAATCCAAGTTCTAGCAGCGACTAAAACTTGAAGGGGAGGAAGGTACGTGGAGTTGAAAAAGCTGTTAGTTGTTTACATTGGATGCAAAATAAACAAAACTTCACACTTGACGATGTGAACCCAAAAGCTTGGAGACAATTTACGACAATTCCATTTGTAAAAGCTAACGCACGTTCATGCCCTTTGACACAACTATGATACATTTAAACTATTAATCACATCAAAATTATTAAAAATTATCAATAAATGTAATTTTTATTCTCCTAAAATACAAGGAATAGAGGCTATGCCACTTCAATAACACAATTGAGTGTTAATAACACAATAGTTTATTTGATACTGTAGGCCAACTGTACTGTTACTTGCAAGCATTTTTGAAATTGTTATTTTGTTGTGTTCCACCCACAATTTAAACTGTGCAAAAACAGTCTTGAGGTAACATAAATTACCAAGTCAGTCCATTAGAACCTAAACTTGTAAAGTTCTTTTATCTTTGTTTGGTAAATAAGTAATAAATAAATGTCCAGGTATTACAATGATGAATACATATAAACCTTTTATTAGTCAAATTGTACAAATAAGTAGGGTTATAAATTTAGATGAAACTCTTAATCTCAGGGTTCTAGGAATGTGCCGGCTTAAAGTAGGCTTATGTGATGTTATATAGGCATAAGCCTAATGTTCATCACAAGTTATGTACAGTTCAATTTACACTTTTGAAAGAAGAAAGTTCAAATTTTGAATTTAGTAAAATTATAATTTAGGTAAAAGTTCAAAACGGCAAAAGCCAATAGAAATTTTGGAATGTGAGTATTTAGCAAAGTACAAGTTCAGTTTAGTCTCACCCAAAAGTTTATGGTAGTCTTCTCCACAAATATATTTCTTGAGGTAAAATGATATGTATTAAATAATTGAGAAAAATCTTGATATTTTAAATACTGTAAAGTTAAATCACCAATTAAAAGTTTTAAATAATCTTCCTGTCTTGCTTCTTCATTACTTATTCTCAATTGAAAAATCTTGATTCTTGATGTTCAATTTCATACATCTGTTTCAACAATTAGTTCACTGGTTTCTTGATGTCACTATTCACTGTTACTTTTATGATTGGTTGGTATTATATGAAGAGTATTTTAATTACATTTTTGAAAGTGAAAGAGAAGAATAATTTTGTAAAATAATTCAAACTGTATAAATAACTTCCAGTGATTATAAATTTAGCTTAGTAAATAAATGACAGTGTTTGATGAGAATGTGAAATATGGAAATTTACAATAGGTCAATAGGTG